AGGCTTAATTCATAAAAACTAAAAAAGATTTTGTAAAATAGACAAAAATAGTTACTTATAATGAATGTGAATTGAGTCATTCCAGAATTTTTTAATGGAATTGTTAGTGAGTTCTTTTTTATAATACTGTATACAAATGGTTTTTTATTGAATATCTCTAATTCAAGAAAGCAGAAATCCTGGCTGGTCTCTCAAAGACAATTATATATTATAATTACAAAAAAGCTATACAATATATTTTGGAGACAAAACCACCAAAAGATATTCTCTTGCCATTATAAAGCAATTGATGACAAAGATACAGGTTGAGTTATATCATTTTCATAACTAATTAAAAAGGTATTTATTAAATTTTATTTAGGATAGCAAAGAAATCAAACAGTTCTGGAAATTAATAACTGTAGAAAAGAAATATACAGAACAGTTAAAAGTTTTCAGAGATAACGATAAATTTAAAACTGTAAATATTATATTGTATTCACTAGCTTGTATGTGATTTAATTGATCAATAATTAAATTGGATACATTTTTTCTTTCAGAATATTTTCAAAATTTGCAGTAAAAGATTCAATGATGAAATTAATTCTACTATTGAACAAAATGCAAAGAAAAAAAACTTAATAAGAATAATAATATAGCATACCTACTTGCATGAGAATAATAACAGATAATGCAGATAAAGCTCAAAATGAAAAGGCAAATAATAAAAAATACATGAATGCTGATAAAGAAAAGATTGCATTTTAGATTATTAACAATTAAAAAAAAAAATGGAATTATTCATAACACTTCATAAGCTGATTTTCACATAACAAATATTTGATGTGTTATTTACAAAAGTTATACCTAAGTTGAAATCCTTTAAAAGTGTTGTTGCAGGATTCCAGAAAACACTTATATAGGTAAAATCACAAAAATATTTTTTATTAATAGCTTTAAGCAAAGCTTTTTATTATGATTGCTAAGCATTGTTGATATCTAACCTTAAAAATTATATAAAAATAAATAAATCAATCTTCTAACCTAATTAAATTTTTATTATAATATATATAATTTATAAAATATATTTATTAACTAAAAATATTTTATTAAATACAATTTTAAATATGATCAATACATTGTGAAGCTAAATTAAACATAATATACAAGTAGATTAACAATATTCAATTAATAAAATTAAATTAATTTTATTACAAAAAATGTAAATTTCTTCACAAGTATTATATTTACACCCATAAAAATTAATATATAGGTAGTTTTGACCTTGCTGAACAATTTCAATTAATTTAGAAAGTCAATTTCATTTGACTAAAGTGTGTAATTACACTCTGAAGTTATAAACAGAGAAATAAAAAATTTAGAAGTTAGTACCATTATGAAAAATGCACTTTTCTCCATAAGTATTATATCCACATTCATGAAAATTAATATATAAGTAGTTTTAACCTTACTGAACAACTTTTAATTAATTTAGAAAGTCAATTTCATTTGACTGAAGTGGTGTAATTATGCTTTGAAGTTATAAATAAAAAAGTAAAAAATTTAAAAGTTATTACTGTTATAAAAAATATGCTTTTCTATATAAATATCATACTTAGCCATATGAAAATTAAAATACAAGTAGATTTAACTTGCTGAACAATTTTACTTAAGCATAAAAGATAATTTGATATAACCAAAATAGTGAATAGTGAAATTATATTTTAAAGTAAAACATATTTACAGTAATTTTATTTAACAAAATAAACATGTATAATACAGTTAAACTTTGATATAGCAAACTCTTTATATAGTAAATTTTTCAGACAACTATAATAAATTTCTCTCGCTATAATAAATTAACCAATCAAATCTCTTAAAATCTTCACTATAACCTTATAGCAAAATTGAGGTCTGGACCCTAGGGTTCGTTATAACAAGTGTTGATTATATAGGCAAATGTAGGGGTATAACAGGATCCCATTTACTTATAATAAAGGTCATTGTAGAAAATTGGCCCTTTACTAATAGTTTTTACCTTACTTTTTTCTTAAATTCTATTGGTTAATTAGCTAAAAAAGAAAAAATTCATAATAATGTAACATAAAATTTCCTTTTATAGTAGGATCTGCAAAGAATTTTATATATGATTTTTACCTTAGGCCTGGGGGTGACCTATCTTATAAGTAAGCGGGATCCTAGTATAAGGGGCGTGCCAGAAATCACGTGATTATGCTCAATTAGAGACCTGACCCCCCTACTCACCATGTGATTGAATTCTGATTGGCTAAAAAAATATATACAGTATAATATATAATATATTACATTAATATATATATTATAATACAATTAGTTTGCTATCTAATAATCCAATTTGCATAAACTTTTTTTTGTTTTGTAGCCCCATTTATGCTTTATAAAATAAAAAACAATTCATTGAAATTGGACTGCTAGATGGTGAAATAATTGCAAAAAAGCTTGTTAATAAATAAATTATTACCATATATTATATATATTATAATACAATTATTTCACTATCCAATAATCCAATTTGCATAAACTTTTTTTT